AAATTAAGAAAAATAATTTTGTTTTCGGCTTTTTATTTATATTAATAATAAAGTTTTATTTTTCAATAAAAATTTTTTTTACAAATTATTATTTTAAATTATTTTTCCTCTTCTCTTTTTATAAATCTTTGGTAATTTTTTTCCCATTTTTTTCTCTACATTTTTCACTTATATATGTATATACATATAAAAAATTGAAATGCAATGCGTCTAAATTGCCATCTTAAACATGAAATGCGTGAACGTACATATTTACAAATTTCTGAATGAAAATGTCTCGCGTTACAGCTGGAACAAACTGAGATATAAGTTGAAAAGAATTGAAGGTTAAAAAAGTTGCAGTTGATGTTGCAGTTAATGTTGCTGGCAAAATAATCCATTTTCTTTCCAAAACTTCAATTCTCAATTTCTTTTTCTTAAACTCCTTCGATGAATTATCGGTTCACTAACTCATAATTAAACTCTATCTGAAAATATTTAGCTTTGTATTTTTTTTTTCATTCATAATCAATCATGCATTATTTTGATTACGTCAAGGGTACTTTTTCTTTCAAAGTATCCTAGCCGTAATCAATCCAGTTTTAAATTATTTTATACAATAAATATTTATTTATTATACAGATAATTAATACTTATGAAACAGTTGATAAATATAATTCAGAAACAGATAATAAAAAATAAAAAGAATTTGATATTATTTATTATCTGTTATTTTGCTAAAAATATTACTAACATTTCATTTAATTCAATATTTTTTAACAGTCATAGCACTCAAGTGGATCCCACTCACGATGTTTTGCTCGTTGTTCATAACCAAGGATACGTTTCGTGGTTTCCTCCGATTCTCACACAAACATCATGCTCAACTCTTGAACAGACATCTTATCCCTACGATGAAGTGGAATGCGTTATTATCTTGGGTGCATGGGCACACGATGGATGGGAAATAAATTATGCTCACGAAGACGAATTAGACTTGTATGAATTCGAAAATATTCATCCCAGGTAATCATTTATAATCATGATATCGCCCTCGAATGTTGATAAACTTTATTAGATTCCTCCCCCCCCTCATCAATTTATTGCACATTTAGTCATTCAAATGAATGAAAACTTAATAAGTTTTTGAGAAAATTGATTTAGACAGCGCTCGTCCTTTCAGCAAAAAATAAAACTAAGGAGCAGTAATGAGAAGTTATAAAATACTTCACCAAGTATGAGTAAAGAATCAATGATTTGGCAAGGCCATTAATTATTGTCAAGATTATAAATCTCATTAATTATAAGCTTTTGAAGTTATAAAATAGTTTTCCTGGGATGAGTAAGGAATCAATAATTTGGCATGTTTTGGAATTGCCAAGGTAATAAATGTCATTTAGCATAATCCTTTAAAATCAACTTCAAAAAATGGAAAGCAATCAATGACTTGGCGTATCTATTAATTAGTGTCAAGGTTATAAATCTCCTTTAATATGGGCTTTGGAAGTATACGCATCACGTACTTCGTCAAGAATGAGTAAGGAATTGATGATTTGGCATAGTTATTAGAGCCAAGTATATGTAGATATATATAATTTAATATAAGCGTAATGGGTATTACAAATATTTTTTGAAGTATAATCTATACTTTGTTTTTAACGGTTTCGAATATTTATATAAATGTGTTAGGCAGTTAAATAAAGGCCATCTATTTAATTTATTTATAAAAATGATGGTTTTCACTCACATGCGAAGATAGGAATATATGGTAATAGTTTACAATTCGGACCCTCTTATATTTGGTGATTTGAAAATAAACCAATATATGTGAAAATAACTCTTGAAGTAATCACATAATAGGGAAGAGAAGTTGCACCAAAGATGACGTCACGGAAAGCAAAAGAATAGCATGATTACCAGAAACGGGGTTTCAGCAAAGACTAAAAAGAAATTATAGCCAAACGGAAACGATCAAATAAAATATAAATTTAATTNATTGCAATAATGTTGTGAAAAATATTTATTTTTCAAAAATTTTGTCCCGAAGGTAGTCGGATACCTTAAAAGAAATTATAGCCAAACGGAAACGATCAAATAAAATATAAATTTAATTAATAAATGGTACACTTATTTTAGAAATGCATTACTTATTACGCATCTTTGCGTTTTATTTACACTCTAAAATTTGATTTTTTACACGTAATGTTAAACCAAATTCATCAAAAATACGTTAAATATATGGGGAATATCTACAATATGTTAAAATACTAGGTGATCTACAATTACGTTTACATATTGGGGAGATCTACAATTATACCTTCATAATATCTGAACGACTACTAAGTGCCCTATTAGTAATCGAAAAAAAAGTTTATGAATATTTTTATTTTCTTAAAAGCTTTGTTGCAGTAATCAACAGAACTTATCTAACTTTTTTAACGCGTGTCAAAGTTCCGATGACAATTTTGAATCACCCTGTTTTTTTATGAAATGCCTCAGATTATGATGGGATAATAATGTAGAAACGTCAGAGAATAGAGCATTCGTCTTCCAATGAGATGAACCGGGTTCGAATCCCAGCAATGGCTGATCGATACGAATTCCACATCCGGCTTGCTCTGACCACAGTGCGGACGTAAAATATCTTCAGTGGTAGACGTATCATGGGTTAAAAGTCCCCTTGCCGTCAGGCTAACCGTGGGAGGTTTTCGTGGTTTTCCATTCCATGCAACGCAAATGCGGGTTAGTGCCATCAAACAGTCCTCCACGAGGGTACGGAGTTGAACATTAGTAGCCGTAAACCAAAAGTAATTGGATCAGCTGTTCAACGACAGTTATAAAATAAAATAATACAAAAACAGCAGTCTGTCTTCCAAATCTCTTTTTATTTGTGCTTTCTATGATGTTTCTGTATTCTTTTTCTTATCGACTTATTTATTTCAGGTGGGAACTTATCAGCTCTAAGTCCTTTGCAGTACGTAATGAAACTTATTACGAGTGTTGTAATGAGCCTTATCTGAGCATTCACATTCATCTCGCTTTGAAACGTCGACCCGTACCAGAAGTTGAAGCTACGAGAGCACCTTGTATACTGGTCATGATATTAACCTTGACAATTTTCTGGCTACCAGTTGATTCTTCAAAGAAGATATTGTTAGGGGGAATCCTCTTTCTTACTCTAAATGTCTTACTTATTTGCGTGGCAGGAAGAACAAGAAATCCTATGGCGGTTCTATTGGGCGGTAAGACAATTCGAATTGTGCGATATTTAAAGAACACTAAATATAACATATTTAAAAAACGGAGATTTATAAAGTCTCATTCAATGCAGCGGTTACCATTTTAGGGGGAGAGAGAGGTAGGTATCACAAGGTTTGAGAATTGCATACACAACCCACATTCAGAAATATCGTTCGCCGCTAAGGATGTCTCTCCGTTATAAGCTATCTGTTTGTGTATTGTATTTATCTAAATTATCTTAATTTTTTTGGTCAATTTTAAGTTTTTCAGAATTTAATGTCAAAAATTGAATTACAATAGGCTCAAAAATAGCTATTTAGTGTAATTTATGGATTTGGCGGCTAACTTGACGAGCTTACCAAGTAGGTAGCCAAATAATTAAATTAAGAATAAATATCAATTTCTGGGCCTATTTGTTCACAATTATAGACAAAGTTTATTAGAAAGGGTAAAAATAACATAATTAAGAGGATTTAGATGAGTTGTTTAAAATGCGCACGAACAGCCAGTTCATAACGGGAGGCGTTCTCAGTGGTGTAGGACGGCATTTCATTCATAATCGTTATGATGTATCCTATCTTCTATCCCAGTTTGTAACTGGTGTATTAAATTAATCTGCATGTAAAGAGTTCCGTAATTATCACTACTGTTGCATATTTTTGATATTCTTGTCAAAAATGAAGAGCAAAAGTTATTGCAGTCACTAAGAATCGCAAAAATAAGTGAGGAAGAACTGAAAACATCAAAACCTTCTTGATTGCCTGCTGAAGCTTGGTAATGATTCTAATAATGGGTTTCATCATTTAATCTATTTATTCCGGCAATCAAACAAATTTTGATGTTTAGAGTAGATGTCTTTCTCATTAGTGGTTCGCTAGTTTTTTATAGCGTTTTTGCTTTTCTTCGTTTAAATATTCATTTGCAAACGCTCATGCGTATACTATTTTTTATTTCCTTTCTGACATGGATTCCAAAAATGTATATTAACGGCGTTCATAACAAAATACCCTGTAGTTGGAGATAAATAATAGAATATTATTATTTCACCAAGTTTTTAAATAGAGCGTATTTCATTGGGAAAAACTTTTTTTACACAGTTTGCAGTTGCTTCTACGGATTCAGAAGTCTCAAGATCTTTAATATGTTAGATAACATATTTTTCTCCGAGCTTTTTAATTCTGATAAAAACAAAAGCATTTATTTAAAATATTTTAAACATTCCATTAAATAGTTAGTTGTAATTGTACTCAAACCCAATACTTAAAGAGTGTTGTAAAATGTGTTGACTTAAACGAAACACATATCCCAGATTGCAAGTCACCTTACGTTGTATTTGTGGTTTCTTTTGAATGGCACAATAAGGTTGACTCATTATTCCTACAAAGCAGAAATGTTACAATGTTATTTTTTTAAAAGATGGAATAAAGGCAATCCTTACAAAACATACATATAATATTTTAGCTCTTATTTCAAAACTTGTTGTTGAACTTTTTCTTTCTTTTGTTTGTTAAGGTTCACAAACACGCAATAGTTTTTTAAGGATGATGTGTAGTGTTTTAGATTTAAACGTGCTATAAAATGAATGTTTCGAGCTTAATGTAAATCTTATGACGCGTTAACTAGTATAGTTAAATTTAATATTATTTCAAGCTTACATGGTTTAGTTGCTAATTATTTTTTGAGTCTTGTGATTAAGGTTGCTGCTACATTAAAATCGATCTTCTAATGCTATCTGGGATGATAATTCAAAAGGGATGGTAGTAAATTTTTAAGTACTATCTTGCTGAAAAATATGTCAGGACTTTAGGGACAAATAGCTTAAATAAATAAAAAAGAAATTATACTCTTTTTTTTAAAAAAAATTGCTAATTTAGTGACTTTCTTCCCCTTTGGAATAATTTTCAATTTTTGCCTATTTTTATGAGCACAAAAATTAATGCGCTCTCGTAACTTTACAATTTCATAATATTAGGTCACAAAAGCTTTCTGTTTTCACAAAACTGTGACTTTTCTTGACATTGACATATTGAGCCATTTTCAGAATAAGCATAGAAAGAACTATCTGAAACCTAAAAGGCAAATCTAATAGTAATGAATACAGTTACAATCTGATTGCAGTTATAAAAATATATGAATTGCTAAAATGCATTCTCTCATCATACGACAGAGCCTTCGAAAAACGGCCTTAAGAACATTTTGATATAAACATTTAAAATACCGTCTTCAGCTCTTTGTTCACTGACCCCCGTGGCTGCTCTTTCATCCGTTTTCTTCCTCTTTAAAGTCGAAATATTTTCTTGAAAAGATCATATTGGTAATTAAATATCTTATTATTATAATTTTGACGCCCGGTGGCTGAGCGGTAGCGCTTCGCGATGTCGTGCCACCGGTCCCTGGTTCTATCCTCGGGCCGGGCAAGGTTGACTCAGCCTTTCATCCCTTCAGTGGATCGATAAATGAGTACCAAGCATGCTTGGGAACTAAACACTAGGGATTCCACGTTCGGCTGACCACCTGACCGGAACATCTGCTCCAGCACCGCAGAGCCCTAGGTCAAGAAAACTGAGATGGGCACAGTAGGCCTTGGCCCTCTATGTGTATTAGTTTAGCTTATTATTATAATTTTACGTCAGAACATTTCTGACGTAAGAACATCATATCAAAATGAACGATTACCTTGGTTTTAAAAATAATCAACTATACTTGAAGGAAAAAAAAATATTTAAACTCAGAAATATAGGATACGCGACACAATAGGAAGCAATAAATGAGAAAATGAGATCACGTAATTCAAATCGGAAACGATTTTATCTCTATTGAGTCTTTAAAATGTTTTTTTGAAAATGCTGATATAAATATTATAGCATCTTTTTATTTCATTTATACATTGTTTTTGTTACTTTTGACATCAAGTCAAGCACAAACTTATAAAAGGAAGACTACAACGAAGAAAATATACTGACTGGTTTAAAAGTGAATATATTCGAAGAAAAAGCACTTGAAATTGCAATAACTTTCAAAACATTGAAAGTTTTTTAAAAAAAATCGCGTTCATAAACAAAAATAGTCCTGTCAGCACATCAACTCTGTAGTTACATGTTTATGAACTGTAGAGCTACTCACAGGATATTTTTCTAAAAACTTATGGTATGAACGTATGGTATAAACCGTAACAGTTAACATTTCTCAACTTAGTTATCGAATGTTAATTTTTTTACGCATCCTGGTAATTTCAAAATTTCTAAGTTGGCTCAGGTTTCTTTATTTTTGAGCAAGAAAACAAAATGTAACCTAAAGTTCAACACCCAAAACAGCGACACAAATGTTTTTTATTTTTTAAATATTAAGCGACATAATAATTTATTTTTTGATCGTTGTATTGATCTTTCTTTTCTAGTATCATTCATCCAGACGGCAATGTATATAGTCACAATCACTTTGCTTCTTCAAGTGTTTGTGGTCCTCAAAATCGCTTCTTTGACCGGACCCTCTCGACCACCTGCCCTGATTATTCCACTATTGACTGGAACAGTTGGGAAATACATGTTCCTTCAGTCTTCCTTACCTGAAGATAAAGTGCCATTGGATCAACTGAAGGAAGAGACGATGATGAAGGAAAACATATCCGTGAAGGAAGAATGGAAAATGTTTGCAACTGCTCTTGACAGAGTCTTGTTCTTCCTTATGATTATCGTTATGATCGCTGTACACCATATATAGGTGGTTGGTTTTTTAACTACCACCATTCTAAGTCTGAAATTTTAGTTTAATTGTTGTAAGTGGTCTCATTTTTTTCATTTTGCTTTGTCGAATAAGAAAAAACGATGGTGGAGATCTGAGATCTATGAATGGAGAGGGTTAGAAAAAAAAGAACTTAGATTTCTCTATTTACATAAGTTTAAATAGTTTTTGGTGTATTTTTTATGTTAAATTGAATGAAATCAAACCTAAGTTGATAAGATTCACAGTTTTGAAGTTAGTAGGGTTTTACACATAAAATTACCTATTTTCACTTCTTAATCTAGAAAATTAGGCATTATTTCTATTACGCTAAATGTAACTAAAGCAAAATTAGGTGTCAATAAAATATCATTTTAAAATTGTAAAGGTTTCATGCGTAAGAAAGGTAAAGCCATAAATTATAATTTTCTTGCAAAAGAAAATTATATAACTTCCAAACTATTAGTCTTATCTACTTTATAGTTCCTTTCGACTCAGAGTAAAAAAATATGTATGAACCATAACCTCATGGAATAAAATCTTAAGCTTTATAACTAAAAAGAGCAATTTGTCTTGGAGTTGTAAATAGGTCCAAGTCAAAAATTATACTTTTTATTCATAAAACTCTTATAACTTCTGAATCCCATTGGCCCAGCTTTAATTTCATTTGAATCAGCGATAAAATACTGTACCCAGTTTGCATAGAAAATAAGATTTAGATTTCTTCGGCTTTAGATAGCCAATTCCCCTCTCCAATCTCAAACCTCAAATATCCAATTTTCTTACACTACAATGCATAAGGAAAACAAAGGACCCACTGCACTTAAGCATAAAAAGACATTAAAAATGAAGTTGGAAAACTTACTTTAAATGACATAGGAAAGAAAACGTTGTTAGGCATTAGAAACGAACTTTTTTATTTATGATGTTATTTCCTAATCATATATTTGGATATTACTTTGCAATTGTCTGAAGGCTGAAATTTATTACTAATTGAAAGTAACAACCATTGAAAAATACTTAAAGAAGAAATAAAATATTGTTTATGTACCTGATATTTTTTTTTTAAAAAGTAAATTTAAATGTCAATAACAATTTTATTGTTTTATTTTTTTTACTACGTTATTCACAATTTGACCGGGGTACAAGCCCAAAACTCAATTTTTACATCATTATTATTAATTCTTGTGTCTTAATTTTTAATGCAGTACATTCTAACACCTATAGTACGCAATTATACTACTTGTTTACCAAAAACATTCGCACAAAAGAAAATTATAATTTTTATATAATTTATCGAAAAATTTTCAATTATACAAATTGCAAAACCAAAAATAAACAATAGAAAGAAATCTATTAAACAAGCTTAAGATTAAAACAATTTTAAAGTACGTCTTTTTGGTGCAAGTACAATTTTTTTTTAACTCACCTTACTAAGAAATTTAATTTGTAAGTTTTAAGCTTAAGATGCATCTTAATTAATAGAATTTGATTCTGAAATCACGATAAAGCTTGGAATAGTTTTTACATCGGTTTTAAAAAGTGAGGGAAATACATTTTTCGCTCGCGACTTTATCAAATCTCGGATCTTTCACGTTTCTCGGGAAAGCTAAACTTTTAATTTAAATGTACAATGAAATTGCTTTTGACTAGATTTTAGGCACTCGAAATAAAAAGTAATTTAAAGTTAATAAGATGGAAGAAGAAAACTCTGATAAAAATAAAAGCAGAGATTGCTCTGCTTTCGCCTTTTCAACACCCATTTCAGAACCAGATTGGAAGTTAATTCTTAGTGCAACCGATGTAAGTGTTGGCGAAACTATAAAAGCAGCTGATCGTGAAATTTCTCCTCTTCAATTGTATAAAAATGAGGATGCAGAAAACATCATTTATGTTGGAAAACAATTACAAAAATGTGATACTTCTAATAAAATAGACACCAAGGCTGAACAGTTAACATCTCATGATGAGTCATTAGCACTAACTTCAAATGAGCAGCTTTTTCGTAAAACTTTAACGAATCCACTAGGCGTTGACAGTTGCTGCATCAACAAATCGAGCGCTAATATTTATGAAACACTCAACTTTAAGTCGATGTTTAAGAGTATGAAAAATAAAGAAATTCATGGCGCAAAGCAAAGTAAAAATAATTTTGCTGAAAATTTCGTTAATAATTTTGATAGTGACGTATGCCCTTCTAATTATACTAGAGAAATTAAGGCCTTGGAGAACGGAGATAATTATCCTGATGATTATTCATCCAATGATGAAACGAGTCATGTTTCGGTTGAAGATTCGACTCTTACAAAATCGAAAGAGAGTTGCCTATTTTTTTCAAGTCCAGATTCGTCTACCAACAGTGGAATTATATCATCAAGTGAAAGTAGTTCCCAGGTAACAAATAGATGTGCATCCATATTTAGACCTGTATTGTCCGAAGAGCTCATGTTATCAGTTGAAAGAGAAAAAGACAATCCTGCGGTAATGTGTGAGATTAACGAAGATTCGCCAGAACTACCACTGATAGACCGAGAAGCTTATTCTTCACTTCCTTTAACTAGCACTACTTCACAAAGCTATACTATCCTAGACGACACCAATCAGAGGTCTCTAGAAATTATATATGACACTGATAACGAAGCACTTTTAAAAGATATGGATGGTTTAGAATTCGATGGTCCTCAAATGTTCGAAACTCCTCTAAATGCAACTGACGGAACGTTTACGAGTTCAAGCGTGAGTCCTATGGAAAAATCTAATGAAGATGTTTTCGTTCTAAGGAATTTTGATCGTAATCCTTTTCGTATATTATCACCAATTCCTGAACTATCATGCGAAAATAGCTCACAGGTCGCTGGAGAAAACTATATGAAAATGGCAGACGCAAGTACATCACTCATATACGAAAATAATAAAAAATTTGCATCAGAAAAAAAGGCCTCTATAATTGGTAACTTCGCAACTTGTAAAGTAACAGAATTATCATCCACTGGTACAGAAAAAGGTTTGACGTTTGCTCATAATGACTTTAAAATGAAAAATGAGGAAATGAAGAGAGACGTTACGAAAATTATGAACTCTTTGATGATTGAAGCAGAAGCATATAAAAATAACATCCAACCAGATTCATCAAAAAACTCACCACCTTCGACTAACGAGAAAACGCCACCAATTATTATCAAATTATGCTCACCTGGTACGGCAAATTTAGGCGATAGTGGAATTGAAACTTCCACAGACGTGACAGAACTACGTGAAAATAATTTTAAAAGTTTACCTGCAACCAATTTAGAGGATATTTCAATCAACGGGAATGATAATTCAATCCAAGACGAAAAAATGTCGATTTCGCCAGACAATCGAAATATGAATTCGAAAAATCAGGGCTCACCCATGGAAGTATCAGATACTACACCGAGTTGTTCATATGATACAATGACAAATATTTCTTGTAGTTTCCCTGATTTCAGTTCCCTTAAGAAACTAGATAATGTTAACAAGACAGTTGCAAATGCTGTATTGAAATCCATGCTAGAACTCGGTAATAATAAAGTGAGCATTCCGCAAGTTCTTAAGTTCATAACTCAGCATAAAATCATGCGAATTCATTCGAAGTTGGAACAAGATGTGAGACAGTTTTTTAAAGTTGTTTGTGAAACCGGCATGTTAAAAAAGACGAAAGACCACAGGTACACACTTTTTGGCTACCAAAACAGTACACATGGAAAGAAAAATGTAATACGTCCGACTGAAGTCAAATCTTTAAGCAAAAAGATTAAAAAAGAGCCAAGATTTAAGACTAAAGCTTTACGAAATTCTACAGCACAGCAGTTCGCATCAAGAAGCCACACTAAGTCCGTTGCAATCACACCAAAAGGAGCCATTTGTCGCCAATTGCGAAACCGTATTGTTCTATTCAAACACTAGAGATACAAATTTGAAGAAGTATTTTAAATGTAAAATTTTTTGTAGTTTATAGAAACCTTTCAAATTTTCTTCAAGATGAAAGAAATCAATTTTAAAACTCAAAGAGATCAAGTTTTCATTATGCCATATTGCAAATTTTAAGACAATTTATAATTTAATCTTTTAAAGATATTAAACAATCATTAAGCTTCAAAGTATTTCGATAATTTGATTTTTGTACTTGTAATACTGTAAAATAGTTTAAAATTAAGAATATTTTTTCAGTACTTTTCGGTTAGCCAAGCGCTTGAAAATTCAACTTTTTACTTATTTTTTACGTTTAAAAAATAAAAAGTTAGAGAAGGTCTTTCGCTCAGCTAACCGAAAATTACCATCTTTTATATAACAGTTATATGAACAGTTATATGAATTATCACTGAGAAATAAGAATCACTACAAATATCAATAAATGGTAAAAAAATCTACTGCAACAATCTCAAGGCATATGTTGATATACAAAGATCAGTATTTTTTCGGTAAGTCTTGCGTAAATTCCGCCTTTTACTTTTTGGGGACGTTTTAGGAATACTTCCACAATTTCTGTATATTGATGAGCGTTTTCACGCTTTGTTTCGTTTTGACTGAAATCCCAGTTATATGCTATTTTGGAAAATGTCGCTAACTCGGCGCGCTGACGCTAGTCACCAAGAATTAAAGTAAGCAAAAATAAAGGGGGAAAATATACTTGAGGGTGCCCCTTGGCGACTTATGTTTGGCGCCATACTAGTTTGCCCGGAACTCCGCATTAACCCACAAACAGGACATTTATATCTGTTACTAATTAAACCTTCATTCATACACCAGTCAATCACTGCTTTTTTCCCATTGTTATTCAAATCGTACAGAAACTTAAGATTTATCTTATTGACAGAATTCATTTTTAGTACCAGAAGCAAACATAACCTTACCAGCAGGTATCCAAAGTAGAACTAACGGATCTCTGAAATTACATTTAAGAATTCATTTAAAAACAACGCTAAATTCTAAACTAATCAGAATCACGATTCAAATCTAAACCAATCAGAATCACGATTGGTTTTCAACATCACCCAGCTTGGCGATCAATCGCGATCACAACTTGGCGGGGGTAAGTATAGTCTACCCAAATAAAGATACCTGGAAATGGCAAATACATAAGCATACCAAGAAACAAAATCATGTAAATCGAACTACATCGCCAATGTCACCAAATCCACCATGTAACGTAAATTAGGTCCCATTTAATTTTGATTACTTAATGTTGGATCAGTCTTAAAAAGTTCACAAAAGTAAATAAATAAGTAAAACAGTTGATGGAATTTGTGCTTGGCTGATCGAAAAGTACTCTTTTCTATTAATGTGACATAAGTCCAACAAGTTTGAAAATTTTCTACAATAAGTTAAAGAAAACTTACTGAAAAGTTAATATTAAATTAATAACTACAGTTCTGCCTTTGGTGAACTGAAACTCACGATAGTATGTTAACTATGTAAAATACATAGTTCAGAGAAATTTTTCCGTCTTTACTAAATACCTCAGTATTTTGTTTAGAATTGTATGACTTTGAAACCATAATTTATATATATATATATATATATNATATATATATATATATATATATAATATATATATAATATTCAAATTGTAGGTTATGCTAATTATTTTAAAGATAATAATTTTTTTTAAAAAAAAAATCGATCATTTTAGTGGTATTATGGAGTCAAATTATATTATTATCACCCAGTTTCCCATGTTAAACCAATTGAGAATAAAGTCATATGTTAATATTTTTTAATACTTTTCGTTTCATTTTATTCATTTACCTGTATTTTATGGAGCAATGATACAAAACTGTTATTTTAAAAATACAATTTTTTTTAAAACTTCTAAAACATTGTGATATATTTGTTTTGAAAAAAATTCAAAACCTTAAAAATTTAATCTCAGTAACTGCTTTCCTCAAGATGTATTTAAATGGACCGAAGAAATTAAGAAATATTAAAAAATACCTATTAGTGATTTAATTAATAGGGAAAGCATGGCTAACTTTTCAAGGATAAACATGATAGAGACCAGGGAAAATATAATTTGATTCCAGCAATCT